TAATAAAACACAGTCACCAAAATGATTAACTGAAACGTCTTTAAAAGTATCATGTACCAATAATGAAAAATTGATGGAACTTGATGGGATTTCCAAAAGCAAACAGATAAAGTCTTGGTGCAAAACACACCAGATTTAACTTTGGTTGAAAAGAAGAAAGTGTGGTTAATGCATGTGGCAACACTAGGGAATAGTGGAATTCAAATCAAAGAATTTGAGAAGATCATCAAGATCTGAAAATCGAAGTTGAAAGATTTATGGCATAAACTGGACATGGTGGTTCCATTGGACAAAAAGTCTTGGAACGGCACTTAGAAAATCTGCACATTGTCAGAATTTCCATATGTCAATACAAAAGGCCAAATGGCTTGGATCCACACATATACTATAAGCCAATGCACTACAACATCTTAGAACTCATTCATTCATATATTATAATAATCAGCAACAAAAGCTTTAGCATTAATGATGACATGTTATTTGAAGCTGTGGAGCTTAAAAGTGTTTATATTCAAATCAATACGAATTGGACTGAATTGTAAAAGCACAACACTAATCATGTTTAATGAAAAGAATGTTTGTTGAAGTCAAGGATGCATACTTAGGATCATAGGTTTAAGTATAAAATGAAGGAAATGTATTAAAGCAGGATAAATCAGTTTAAATTTTCTTTCCATGATATGCCCTTATCTTCCAGAAAAAGTCAATATAAGCAAGGAAATTCTAATGAAAATTTAGAATGGAAAGAAAAGAATAGCATTATTCAAGGACATTGTTGACATTACAAATCCTTAAAAGGAACTTATATGTACAAAGTCATATAAAGAAATACAGTCTGTCGAATATATAAGGGTTTATTATACCTCTTAAAGAACTGCAGAGGCCAAGGAAATGAAGAAAAATCCTTTCATCATTATCCTTTAATATATTTCTACTTTCTCTTTTAGTCATGACACAGGGCAAGTAAATTAAAATGCATTTTAGGCCATCTAACATCAAATAAAATATTAAGCAATAAAAGTCTCTGTTATATTAAACACATAAAACATAATGACCATGTGAAGTAGGGCAAGGCCATTTTGAGATGTCATGTGCCAAATTAGATGCATTTATCGACTGTTTCTGCAACTACTGTATTTTCTGGTGTATAAAGCGACCCGGCGTATAAGACAATCCCCGACTTCGGTGCCGAGTTGCATGCCTAGAAAGTCATCTTATACACTGGAAACTACCGTAATTTCTGGCATATAAGTTGACTCGGCATATAAGACGACCCCCAACTTCGGCGCCGATTTCAACACTTTAAAAAGTCATCTTCCTTTTAAAAATTCTCTGGATATTCCACCATATCTTAATCCAAAATGCTTTTATCTCTCTACATGACCACCAAATATGATAATAAGAAGCATCCATATAGCCACATCTCCAACATTTGGGTTGTATGTCAGGGTACATAAGAGACATTTTTTGTGGATCAAGGTGCCATCTATAAAACATTTTATAAAAATTCTCCCTTAAGTTCTGTGCTTGTGTAAATTTGACATTTCTCACCCAGATGGTTTCCCAGATATCCAATGAGACTGGGACACCAAAATTCTGCGCCCATCTAATCATACAGTCTTTAATTAATTCCGATTCTGAATCCATTTCAACTAATACCCCATAGATTCTCTTAATATGGGTTTGTCTTTGATCCTTAACTTGCTTAATAAGATTTTCATCTTCTCTAAGAAAACCCAATTTACAATCCACCTTCCATTTATCTACTAGTTGCCTATATTGGAACCAAGAATAAATAATATTTTCTTGCGCTAAGTCTTCCCGTAATCTTAACTGCCAGTTTTGCCCATCCCATCTAAGTAGCTGACTATAAGACACCATATCCATTCTTACACCTCTTTTTATTCCTTCTATCGCATGCCAAGGTATAGCCCATAATGGAACTTTAAAATCACTTTTATAATATTTTCTCCAAGTCCTAAGTAAAGAGATGGTATAGTTACAGATTGTGATACAAAGGAGGTTGTATTGATGTTAAATTTGATTACAGCCGCGAGGCTGTTAGTTGGACAATACTGGAAGAAGGAGTCTTTGCCTACATTGCAGGAATGGTTTCTTAAAGTAGCTTATTTGGCGGAAATGGCAAAGATTTCGGCTTTCCTAAAGCAACAAACGCAAGAGAAGTTTCTTGTCGTTTGGGATAAATGGATAAAATTTATACAATTTAGATTGGGTACAAAAAAATATTATATAGCTTTTTCATAATTTTTATCTTTATATATAGAGAGATATATATACTTATATATATATTTTAATGTTACTTATAGATATTATATAAATTTTTTAATTTAATTTTTTATTTGTTAATTTTCAATTAAGCCTATATTCTGCTCTGGGAAGCTCAGGGGGGGGGGAAGGGAGGGTTTATGGTGAGGAGTGGGGGTTGGGGTTTTTTTTATATGTAATGTTTAGTTTTTTTTTTTGTATATGTTGTTTTCGTTTTGTATTGTTTTTGTCTTTTTGTAAAATTTATAAAACTTTCAATAAAAAAAAAAAGTCATCTTATATGCTGGAAAATACGGTAAACTAAAATGAGTCTTTCAGATGTTGCTGAAGTATAATTCACATCAAACACAGCTAGCATGTCCATAAAAGATAAGGATTCTGGGAATAGTAGTTAAAAAACCTTTTGAGAAATAGTAGTAGTTCAAAGACATCTGCAGAAAAATGAGAGATGAGAAACATTTTCCACATCTTTGCACTGACATGTGGCAGTTGCCGCTGCCTAGCAGCAGCCTAATACATTAGTCACGTGGAATGAATAAATTTAATCTCTGTACTTCATCTCTGTATCTCTATGTAATAAAAACAGATATCTGCAACAGTAAAAGCAGCACTTGTGAGAGGAGAAAAATGAGAACTCGGATGAAGAGTTTCGGCAAAGCATGCCAGATTTTGTGCATTTTCAATAACGTCCGACAAAACTTTCTGAAAAGCGGACATAACATAAAAAGAAGAACATATTTACAAATGAGTATGAATGGAGAAGTATTCTTAAGTGGCATATTATGCAGTGAGCAAACACTGATACTTGTAATCCACTGAAGCACTGAACACCAACATTCAGACAATATTGATATATCATAGAATCAGTGGAAGTCTATGCTGCACATTGTAATTTTACTGTGAGGTCTATAAGTAATATTTTCTAATAGCTTTTCTAAATAACGTACTCTATAAATCACTATATTATGCGTTATGGTTTTTGAACAACACAATATGGCATACTATCTGTATTGCATTAACAGTACAAGTGTAACTGACCATCTATATATTTATTTCACCATTATTAGGGACTGATCATGCATGTTGCAAAAAAAAAAAAAAAAAAACAATGACCAGAATAGATAAAAAATGGCAACAATATGCTTTTGGACCATGTATATTGCAGAGATTTAAGAGTATGGCTCAGTGAATGCTGTTATTGTTAAAAACCCATTTGCTTCTTGCTAGCTCTTCCTGAAAGATAAATGTCTTAATTTCCCTAAGGAAATGTTACTCATAAATACCAAGATAAGATTTGAAAACTTCCAAAAATTTCCTTTGAAGCAACAAAGCTTAATGATTTGAGTAAATGGTACCTCTACTGAAGTACAACCAATATACATAACAAAAATTCAAAGAATTAAAGGAAAATTGAAAACATCCAAAGTAACATCTTTCAGACAATATTGTGCAATCCATAACCTTTTCCTCTCAAGAGTAGATAAGCTTAGATTGCAGCTAACTGGAAAAAAAATCTAACATTTTTTTCTTTTCATAATTATATATTTGATCTGTACAGTTATTCCTTCTTTTCAAAATAGCCTTATCATATACAAATAAGTAAATCCTATTGATTTCAATGAAGGCTACCAGTTATGGATGTCCAGAATTTTACCATCAGCACCTTTCTGAAATTGCTCTTCTAATTTTTCCAGATGGATCATCCTTTCCCTTTCTCATCAGTATTGTCCTCCTTGTCTTAACACATGCACGAGAGGGTTATTAAACTTTGAAGTAAGTGCTACCTCTTATCTCCAGCCCCTTGCATTATTTCACATGCACACAAAAGTTCCTGCAAATATTTCTTTAATGCATAGCACAGAACCTGGCTGAAAACACACAGCTTTCCACACATCAACTAGGATCAGCAGAGTTCAGTTCTTCCTAGAAAATAATTCATATATCGCATAGTCCCAGGATGCTCAGAGGTTAAAAAACAGTAGCACAAATAAAAGGCATAGTTTTTACCCTGTGACTGCCTACAAATTAAGCACAGCATTTTTAGTTCTACCCTTGAAATATATGACACTTAACAGGTCAAAGTGCTATTTATAATCAACAAGGGAAAAGCTGGCCATAAAACAAGAATTTCCATGTTGATCTAGGATTCAATCCCGGCGGGTTTCATCGAGAAGAGAAAAAGAGGCAATAAAATAAGAAAATCCACTTTGATCTAGGATTTAATCCCAATGGGTTTCATTGGCCATAAATGGAATGTCAGCTGTGTCAGGGAATTGCCTGTGTCACGTTCCCAGGAAAAAGAGCTCTCTGGAATCTGTTAGAGGCTGTTAATGACATCGGTGCTAATCTGAAAAAAGTATACACAACATCTTGTACAGGCAGTTCAACTCAACCCAATCCTTAAGTCTGAAGTATTGGAATGAAGCTGTCTTATGCAATAAAATATAAGGTGGAATTGGAAAGACCTGTTTTTCTCCAGTCCCCACCATTCTGATTATCTTCAGTGACAAGAGGAAAAGCTTTCTGCATTTAATAGGGACCTTTCAGTTACTTTGCTACATAGACATATTTTGTCAGCAGTACATGCAAAACAGGATCTGGCAACCGCTTGCTTGAAAGAAACGTACAAGAACAGGTTTTATATAACACTGTGCCAGGATACCAATTCCACTCAGATCAAAAGAAAGAGAAAACAAATCAGTATGGAAACTAACCTTACAGACATGCTCCAGCTTTCCTTGTTTGCTTTACCTGGTGAAAGTGTCAGTCCATGCATTTGCAGTATGCTTCATCCTAGAGCCTGTCGGCCGTTTCTAGAAGACAGATTGTAATTTGGAGTGTTTGGTTTGGGGTTTTTTTGTTTGATTTTTGGGACGTTTTGCCATTTACCTCATTTTATAATTTTGAAAAATCAATTCAAAAGGTCCACTCCATCCCTGACTGCTCCAGATGCTATATTTTTTATCCTCCAAATAGTTGAGAGGGTGATTCGGCAAGCCAGTCTGAGAAAGCATTGAGAGGAGAGAAGAAAAGGAGGAAAAGATGAGAAAGGGCTGAGAATCAATTGTGCGGGGGGGGGGTTTGCCCCCGTTTGGCTTTTTTTTTTTTTAAGGAAAAATCTGCTCACCATGCGCACAGTCTTACAAGGAAGAACCAGGCCAGGTTAACTAAGGAAGGAGCTAGAAGGGAATTTTCACAAGAAGGTTGCAGTAGCCCGGAGATGCCCCCTGATCCTTGCTTTTTCTTCCTCCTGGGAAAATGAGCTCATTGTAAGCATCCAAGCCCCAGCCCCTCAGCCATTGCAGTGACACTGCAGCTAGGCAGCAGCCTCTAGGCACGTCATCGGAGGAGCTCACTTTGAAAAGTTGGCCCTCCCTTTCGGGAGCAAAACGCCACTTTGAAGGAGGGCATTGCGCACTGAGCAACAAGCTCTCTCGCAAGGCAACCACGCAGTTGTTTGCTGAATGGTTTGCTGAGAGAAAAGAAGAAAAAAAAGGCAGCATTATTCTGCTCAAGCATCCTGGGCAGGGTGTGAATTCTTGCTTTCACTCTGGGCGTTGCCAAGGCTACCAAGATCTTTCCCCCCTCCCTTTTCCCTGCTGCCAAGCACATATGCAGGCTGGAAGGATGCTGATACTGAGAGAACTCCACAGCTCCTTTGGCATTTGCCTCAGCCCGGGAGTGATGACACGCCTGTCGGGGGAGAAATCCTCAGGCTATTAAAAGACTGATCTTATTCAATAAAAGTAAAATAAAAGTCATTGTTAAATTTCGTTCACAAAGGGAAATTTGCTTGCCAAAACAAGAAAAAGAGTGGGTTGAGTCTTGTGGTTCAAGCACCAGCCTAGAAACCAGGAGACTGTGAGTTTTAGTCTTGCCTTAGGCATAAAAGTTGGCTGGGCAGCGTTGGGCCAGTCACTCTGTCTCTATCAGCCCAACCCACTTCACAAGGCTGTTGTGAGGAAAGTAGGAGGAGAAAAGGAGCATTAGGTATGTTTGCCACCTTGAGTTATTTATAAAAATAATAAAGGTGGGATTAAAAAAAAGAAAAAGTGAACAATTTGCTTGCCCAAGGGGGAGGGGGGGGGAGAAAAAGAACAAATTAGCAGCTGTTTTTTTTTTGCAAAGTTTAAAAGTGTGGAATAAAAGAAAATACCAATGATTCCCTCCCCCCCAATGCAGAGATTCCCTACTTCGTCTGAGAAATCATTATTATCATTATTACCCCTGGTGTAAATTAACTCTGAGAGAAACAGGACATGAGCAAAATGTGGCAGGGTAGAATGTAACATTAAATTCTAAGATATTCCATTCTGTTTCTGTTTCTCTTTCCCTCCCCCACAATCTCTCCCCACATATCTCTGTTGTTGTTGTTAGTTGCGAAATCGTGTCCAACTCATCACGACCCCATGGACAACGTCCCTCCAGGCCTTCCTGTCCTCTACCATCTTCTGGAGTCCACATCTCTCTAGACATATTTAATTATCAGAATATCACAACGTCTCTTCCCAAAATTGTACTGCTGGAAAACTTGTGATTTCCCTTCTTTCTGCTGTCAGTAGTTGTGTCGTTTGGATTATATAAGGACTTGGCAGAAGAGCAAGTTTATATTCAGTAATACATAGGTAAAGAGGGCACTTATTCTATTGGCTCAAGAAGCACGGTCAAACAATTCCAAATAGGCAGCATGAAAATTAGACCACCACAGAAGAGTAAGCAAGCAGAATAAATCTTGTAACTACTGGTTCTTCCACCAGTTTGAAGGCATCAAGTAAAAGTACAATCACCAGGCAATCAAGCACCCAAATCCAGATGATTCAAGAAATATCAGGGTTTACAAGAATGGCCTGATTACTAAAGAAAGCAAATTGTGTGTTTACTTAATCCCTAGATGGCTAAGACTCTCTCACAGTCCACTATTGCTGATCAGTTCTGGGCTGGTGCCTGTTAGGTCTATAGATGTGCAAAATGTTCAGAGATAGAATATGTGATTTTTCTCTCTGAATGTTCCATTTTTCTTCTACAATGTGCTGATCCAGATTTTGGGAATCCTGCAAATCAATTCTTCTAGAAGGTCCATTTCTAGAAACACATCACGTTAGAATGTAGAATTATGAATTTGGTACACAAGTCATTCTTCCCACAGAACCCAGCCCTGCAGTCTGCACTATGACACACTCAGATTGCGAACACTTCTAACATTGGCATTGTTGTTCTTTCAGGATTAGTGGCCCACAATTGACCAAGTCTTTCTCGATGCTTCCGGTGAGTTACTGAAAATGCCAAAAGGGAATAATGGTATGGTACTCTGTTCTTTAAGTTTATCCTCACAGTGATAACCCTGTGACATTGGGTTGGGTTTGAAAATATTAATTGGCTGAATGTCACTTAGTACATTTACACTTTCAGGGGCACTCCATTCCCTAATCCAGCAAACTATGTGTCCTCTTTGAAAAAGGGATATACTTGTAGTAATAATATAATGCAAATAATTAGTAATAATATAATGCAAATAATTACTATGGATAAACATAGATGTGTGTGACTCATTCAACTGGATTCCCCAGTTCCCCAACTTCAATGCTGTTTGCTGTCCATATGAATCTACTAAAATAACATATCCAGATATTTGGTCTTTGATAATATTAATATGTAGATGGCACCCAACGTTCTGGAGATAAAACTGCAATTTTATGGAGCTGTTGTTGGATGTTGCAATGGACCCAATGAGAGTGAATCAATAAGACATTTCAAGCAAGATGGAAATACCATTGTCAGTGGTGGATTTCCTATTCAGTCAATATCTAACTCAGTTTCAGTAGGTCATGTGCCTATTCAAGAAGCAGGCCTGCAAACTTTATATTGTTTTAATTATGTTTGATACATTCCCGTTTAGACTATTGCAATATGTTATATATAGGTCTGCATTTAATGAACTAGAAATAGCAACTGGTCAAAATTATTTGCATGCATCGCTGATTCATTCACATTATCCAATAATATATTCATATATTCATATGAGGCCAATGATTTATTAATGCATGGGACAGTTCTATTTTTGAGCCCTTAGTTAAAAGTATTGGTTTTCGTCCTGAAAACTCTGAAAGCTTGAAAATCGAACTACTTGAAAAATCACCTTTCCCCATTAACATCTACCTAATCTTTAAATTATTTCTAGAAATGCTGTCGTTCCTAGCTAACAATTAATTAGAAAACAACTTCTCCAGAGAGGATCAATAATCATTGAATTTATAACTTTTCAGAAGGAGTTTAATATGTTTTTATTAGCTAATGTCTTTTCAACTATTATTTTATTCAATGGATTCCATACCCAGCATCTCCTTCAAGAGCACAAGATCACTTCTTTATTGTAATCCCACATTATTACTCCTATGAAAAATGGTTGATTTGAGAGTGACTGACCACAAGTCACCCAGTTAATTTCCACAGTTAAAGGTACACTTGGATCTGGATCTCCCCAATCCTAGGTGTTTTCTAAGCTTGTTTTTTTTTTCTTGCAGACATTTCATTACCCCAACTAAAGAATAGTAAGTAAGTGCTAGTAAGGAGTGGGCTTGCTCTCAGATAATAAAATGACTGCAAGAAAATAACCAAGCTCAGAAAGCACCAAGAACCTCATTACAACCCTGGGCTACAAATATTCTCCTTTATTTGTCCCCAATCCTAGTCCAATACCATAACTACTGGACCACAACATCTCCTGAAAATAGGTTTTCCTTGATCTAACAATTAAACCAGAGTTTTCACTGGGTAATTTAAAAAAAAAAAAGCAGCTAAATGACTGCTTGGAAGTTGACCAGAAGGAAACTGCATTTTAAATGTATTTCTAAATTATTATCTCACTTTATTTTATGTTATGCAAACTTCCCAAAATCTATGATGGTCAGTCATGTCAATATAATGATGATAATGACAGAAATAATATCACAATAATATACAACCTAGTTTGGGGATATTGTCCAGGTGTGACAGTAAATATAGACCTTATATTTAAGACCTTATAAGATCTTATAAGACATCGAATAGAATGTTTAATTGTATAAGATTATGAAAAATAGAATGATTCTTTGGGAAGTTTTGAGATTTAGTTGTGCTTATGGAGATTCGATAGGAAGCAGTACCTTTTATTAACTTTAGTTGGGATGACCGTTGTGGCTCCTTCTCAGAAAAGAGATGTCTGCCTGTCTGTTATGTGTGGCACTCTCTGTGAAAACTGTTTGGAAGTTTCAATTGATTCAGAATAAGTTTGCTAAAAGGCCAATTTTAATGATCATAATGGAAGACAGTGATGGTTCCTAAATCAATTTGATGGGAGCTGGACACCCTCTCCCCACCTCAATGAAGGGATAATCTGGAAAAACCCTCAATCAAACTAACCTGAGCAGCCTAAGGCTAAAACAGCAAACACTTGACACACATAATGAGGAACCAGCTAGCAGCAATCAGGATTAACACACAACAATAGAAGTAATTAACACCTTTTAGGCAAGAAAAAGAGACTAACAATAGTCACAAACCAGCAAATCAAGAAAGACAAATTTTAACTCACCAATTAGAAATGATAAGTTTGTTACCAATCAGAAATGACAAGTTTGGAAACCACAAAAAGGTATAAAAACCCCTATTTAAAGATCACTCTGTCTAGCTAGCCGTGGACTCGAGCTGAATTGTCACTCAACACTGATCCTCGAAATTAAACCTCTTTTCGGTAGCTGGCTTCACGATCTATTTCTTCTGCGCCGTGCCGTCAAGGGGAATCCCGGCTGGAAGGACCAAACGGGGGAGTTCCTCCCAACAATCTGGTGACCCACGAAGGGACTTCCAGCTCACCCAGCAACCGGACCGGGCCCGGAAGAGCCATCACCCAGCTGGCAGCGGACACTTTGATCCACGGGAAAGCCTCCCCGGACCCTGCCTGGTCGGCATCGGGTAGTAAAGGGAGTTCTTGAGTCTTACGCTCGAACAGCTACCGAGAAAGAGGGTAAGTACCACCAATTTTAGATCTATTAGGTTAAAGGGTCTGGGGGAATGAAAGGAAGAATGTATGAGTGTGTGTGTGAGGCATTCTCCTCTTAGAACCAGCTGAAGCTCACTTCCTCCGTGTGCCCTCTAGCCGCACCCCGGCCTGCTGCTAGCTCCACTGGAGCCGTGACCGGCAGGATTCGGGAAAGCAAGGGGGGGACATCGGAGCGTGAGACCTTCTGGTGAGAGAGGAGGACCGAGCGGGCAGAGAAAGAGAGAGAAAACTCTATTCTGGGCAAGTTAGAACCCCTTCCATTAGTAAAAAATTTAAGCAATAGCCCCAAAAAGGGAGCGACCACCTACCTCTGAGAGCAGGTGGAGGTGCCCGCGGACACTGGAGGCCCAGGTGTCCGTAAACAGTGGGGTAAAGCCGGTCGGTCGAAGAGTAGCCTGTACCTTCTGAGGGAAACTGGAAGGCCTCTGCAGACCCCTTTTTGGTCTGAAAATGTGGAGGATCCCTCGGAGGAGCCCACGAACTCTGAGAGGGATCCAGAGAA